TTTTTGTCTTATTGGCTGTGTCCTTTGTCTTACAGAAGCTTCTCAGTTTTGGAGGTCCCATGTATTAATTATTGACCTCAGTGTCTGTGCTACTGGTGTTATATTCAGGAAGTGATCTCCTGTACCAATTCGTTCAAGGGTACTTCCCACTTTCTCTTCTAAGAGGTTCAGTGACTAGATCTATGTTGAGGTCTTTGATCCATTTGGACTTAAGTTTTGTGCATGGTGATAGACATGGATCTATCCACATTCTTCTACATGCCAGTATCCAGTTATGTTAGCACCATTTGTTGAAGATGCTTTCTTTATTCCATTGTAAAATTTTAGATAGATTCTTTGTTAAAGATCAGATGTTCATACATGTATAGGTTAATATCAGGGTGTTCAATTAGATTCCATTTGTGTACCTGTCTATTTTTGTGCCAATACCAAGATGATTTCAGGACTATTGCTCTAGAAGAGAGCTTGAAATCAGAGATGGAGATACCTCCAGGCATCTTCTTATTTTCTTTCTTTAAAGACTCAAAGTTCTTGCCATACAGGTCTTTCGCTTGTTTGGTTAGTGTTACCCCAAGTTATTTTATGTTGTTTGTGGCAATTGTAAACAGTGATGTTTCTCTGATTTCTTTCTCAGCCCTTTTATCAATGTATATAGTAGGGCTACTGATTTTCTTGAGTTGATCTTGTAGCCTGCCACTCACTTTGCTGAAGGTATTTATCAGCTGTAGGAGTTCCCTGGTAGAGTTTATTGGGTCACTTATGTAAACTATCTTATCATCTGCAGATAGTGAAAGTTTGACCTCTTCCTTTCCAATTTGTATTCCCTTGATCTCCTTTTGTTGTCATATTGCTCTAACTAAAACTTCAATTACAATATTGAAGAGATATGGAGAGAGTGAACAGCCTTCTTTTTCCTGATTTTAGAGGAATTGCGTTGAGTTTATATCCATTTAGTTTGATGTTGACTGTTGGTTTGCTGTATATAGATTTTATTATGTTTAGGGGAGTTCCTGTTATGCCCCATCTATCATGATGGGATGTTGAATTTTTGACAAAGGCTTTTTCAGCATATAGTGAGATGATCATGTGATTTTTGTTTCTCAGCTTGTTTATATTGTGGATTACATTGATGGATTCATATGTTGAACCATCCCTGCATTCCTGGGATGAAACTTATTTGATCATGGTGGATGATTGTTTTGATGTGTTCTTGACCTTGGCCTCTTAGAACTCATGCAGAACAGGCAAGGAATATTGGAAGCTAAATTTAATAATTTGACTTACTATCACTTTTCTTTTTAAAAATTTTGTGATTTCATTTTGCATTTCAACTCCATCCAACTCCTCCCTCCCACCTCCCGCAACCCACCTCCAATTCACTCCTCCTCATAGGTAAGGGCTTCCACAAGGAGTCAACAAAGTCTGACAAAACTGGTTGGTGCATGTCCAAGTCCTTCCATGCATTAAGACTGAGCATGACATTCCACCATAGGGGATCGGCTCCAACAGGCTATCTCATTTACCAGGATTATATCGTGGTCCTACTGCCCCTCAGATAGTCCAGGCTTCACAACCCCTTCTCACATATGGTGGGTTTAGTTTGGTTCCCTAGATTCTTCACAGATGTTGGTCCAGTATTCATGAGTTTGCACAAGCTTGGTTCAGCTGTCTCTGTAGATTTCTCCATCATGATCTTGACTTCCCTTGCTCATATATTACCTCCTCCCTCTCTTTGACTGTATTCCCGGAGCTCAACCTGGTACTGGTTGTAGATCTCCCTATCTCAGCAATCTGATCACAAGGGTAGGCCAGTTTGGGCATCCTCTCCATTGAACCTGATAGACGAGAAATAAGAAGTAGCCTTGAACACATTGACACAGGAGACCATTTAAATGTGACACCAGTAGCACAGATGCTAAGAACAACAATCAATACACAGGACCTCCTCAACTGGCTGGATGTGGGCAGTTTGCAGGAGGGGCACATCCTAGATGGCATGAATTCAAGCTTCTGTGTGCACATACATGTGCATGTATGTACATGTGTACATATGTGCATGTGTTTTCGTGTGTACACAGGTGTGTTTGTGTAGTTGAAAATGAAAGTCACTCTTTGATTCACTTGAATCATTTTAGTTTTCTGAGTCATTTTACTGAATGTGAGTTTAATCCAGAGATCTGTTAGTTTTCACATTTTCACTACATTTTTATAATTCTGGCAAGAGCAACTTTCCTACCCCAGGTACTCAGAGTATACAATTCGTCACTGCTATTATAACTTACTCATTGGATCATTTTCTTCACAGAAATTTCTGTCTGAAGCCTGCCTCTTTGGTTCTTTGGTTTTGGCCAGCACTGATTTGAGTAGGCTCTGTTGCTCTGTATTCTTGAAGAGATCTTGCCAAAAACTTCAGAGTCCCTCATCATACCACCATCAGTGATAGAAGAGTTTCTTCATCCACTAGTCATGCAACAAAAAATATTTTCAGCACCTGCTATATATATCAGGCAGTATAAGCTAATGAAGGCAAACAACAGTTGAGCAATAGATCCCTCATGATGGTCTTTAGATCTAGGTCATTTGTAACACATGCTTGATGAAAGATGTGAAAAGTACTGGGATTTTTATGAGGTTTTATAAATTCATTTCAATTTCTGGGACAAAATAGAAGAAACTGACCCCTGTGCGAATATGAAAGGTTTATTTAGCCCATGATTGCAAGTAGTAGCTTACCTGGACTGTGTCTATAGTCTCACACCTGGAGGAATTTCAATAGTATCATTCAGTCTCAAATAAGTCATGTGTTAAAAATTGACATCAGAGCACAGCGATGGTGGCACACACCTTTAATCCTAGCATTCCCACTTGGGAGGCAGACAGGGGAATCTCGATGAGTTTGAGGCCAATCTGGTCTACAGAGAAATTTCCAGGAAAGGCTCCAAAGATACACAGAGAAACCCTGTCTCACAAAAACAAAAGAATAAAAATTTAAAAAAATTGAAGTCAGAGATATTTGGGAAGCCAGCTCCTTTGCAACAACCCACTTTGTGGGAACTAACTCGCATCCCTGTAGCTGCACTCATAATTATAAGAAAAATCTGTGCTATGATTCAGTGAACTACCACTGAATTTTCTCCCTAAAAGGGGCTATCATGCCTCACTAGGCCACACTGAGGTCACCACCTGCAGCAATGAACCTCTGGGCAGTGTTGCACATCCAAGCTGTAAGAAAGACCAATATTAGCTGCAAAATGTTTTTCCTTTCGGGTCTAAACCTATCTCCATTGTTTCTTTTTGGAACATTAAATTTATTCCCCTCAAGTGGACATATTAGAATCATAGATAATAAGACTTTCTGGTTTATTTCCATTTGCTATTTAAATTTTGTGCTTGTCAAAATAAAATTGATCCTTTCTGTTGAATAGTCTTTTGTTCTTGTTTTTTTTTTCTTTTTCTTTTAATCATTTGGACCGTGAAATACAGAAGTCGGAGCAGCGCTGATTTACACGTTGAGGTCAGACTGAAGACTGACATCAGTTCTGGGAAGTTGACAGAGTATCATTCAGTGTCCCTGAGCTCTGGCCACTGTGTTTAGCCAAGGATGAACTAGAGCAGTTGTTTCTCCTTGAGTGTATGGAAAACGCAAATGTTTGCATCTTTCTAACCCATCTCCAGTGGCTTTGTGTTTCATTTTTGCAGGCCATGACTCTGACTACATGACACTCATCAACATCTCAACCACAAGGAAATGACTAACAAGTGTAGAATTAGCAAACTAAATATAAAAATAGATTATATTTAAGTCTTTCACGACACAAGAGCTGAGCTGCTAACACTGATAGGTTTTAGTCTACTAAGATTTTGAAATAATTTGTCTCAGATTTGGGATCTAGTTGCAAAATAAAAGCCTTAGTGGCTAAAAAATGAAATTATTTTTATTGAAAGAAGAGAGGAATATTAACAAATAATATATGTCTTACCTAAAGTTCTGCCTGGTTTAAACAGTAGAAATTTATTTCTCATTGTTCTGGAGTGGACAGATGTAGAGTCAGGGAAAGCTGACTCCCTGGTGTGCAAATGGCTGGCTTTGTGCTATATCATTACAGGGTTAAAAGAAAAGTCACTTACTTCCCTTCTTTAGAAGGTGCTTATGTCATTCATTAATGAGGGTTCTACCTTCATGATCTAATCCCCTTCTAAATTGCTTGTGGTCTAATACTAACTCAAGCGGGTTTCAGTATATGAATTTTGTGAAGGCACAAACACTTAGGCTGTAAGTATACTAATCATTTTATGCCCAATCCTGCCTCTGCTCTTCACTAGAATTCTGTGATATGGCTTTACAGTTGCTGTTTCACATATGAGGAACCTAGGGTCTAGAGATTCCAAGCAATCATCAGAAATCGATGGAGGTAGAGGATGGTAGAGCTCATATCAGATCTGTCTGTCTTTCAAATCTATACTCTTTCTATTACCTGCTATGTTTTCCTTTCAGTTTGGGCACTAAATTTCTATTTCAGCTTAAAATAACCATAATCATCAGCTGATGACAGGGACCATTCAGAAAAACTAGCATCACCTCAGTCTGACATAGTTAGCTAATACCTGTCACCAAAACGACAATGTTTTGGAGACTCCAACACTTTGCAGGGGGACTTTTCTCAGGATTCAGAAAAGCTGCAGTCTGCTCAGAAGTGTTTCTATTGCTCAGTTGTTTCAATTTGACACCTTGGATACTGGGGAGAGGCCTCTCTAACAAAACCTTCCTAGATGCAAGTTCACACCTCTGTTGGAAAGCCCAAAGGCAGGACCTCACCTTACCATCATCCACAAGTAGGCCACAGAATCCATTGAAACAGCCCTTCTTTCTAATGTCCCACAGCAAGAAGGTGTGGACATCAAACCAAGGTGTCAACAGCATCAAAGTATTTGGAAACTTTGTTAATGTGATGTGTTTCTAAAACAGACAGAAAGACAAATAAATGCTCTGTTGTCATATGTTTCCTAAAACTGGAATTTATTTTAAGTTTTCATTTCTCACATATTTGAAATTTTCAATATTAACGCAATGAATGTATTATGCTGACAAAAACACAAGTCTTCTACTGAAAACTTTAAATGTTGGAAAATTGAGGATTTTTCTTAACAGGACCCTTGGGAAGTTCATTTCTGTCCAGGGAAAGTCCAGGAAGCAGATAGTGATTCCACATGCCCGAAGCTGTGTCCTCTTTTATTGTTGAGACATAAGGTACCCCTGAATCCTCTGCGCAGGCTCACACTCCACTGGTAGGTGAACTGAACTGACTCAATGTATGGAATCTGATTTCATTCTTGAACTACCTTCAAAACAAAAAGTCACAAAGGTGTCAGTGTTTGTGTTGATAGTCCAACCTAGCAGAAGTCTACAGGACACTGCAATATCCTTCATTAACAATGTAGTATAAGTTCAGTTGTCTTCATTAATGACATAGTATGAAATTAACACAAAGGAGACTTTGAGAAAAAGGCTTCATTGGTCTTTATTCTTTGATGTCTTCCACATATTCCCAGTCATCACTCTCAAAACACTATGCTTGAATTATGATTTCCTGGCCTTCTACCCTTTCATCGTCAGTGAATATTTGATTTTTCCCCATCACTTCTCAGATGGATATGAGTAACTATTTAAGGAATTATGGAATGATCCAAGACTGGCTTTGAATGACTTACACATTGAAACGCCCAAACAATGTTGCACGAGTGTGTTCTTCAATAACATCTACACACATCTGGCCACCAGAACAAAAGTGAAAGTTTGTGTTTTTTAAGAATATTTCCTCATTTTCAGCAGCCTCAATCCTCTATGTATTACATATTCCAGGACCCCAATAATGCCCAAATTGAAGAACTCTAGAAAATGTGAAAAACTCGAATAGTTATCAAGGATCCTGCACATGGCTTGGGGCTTATATGCCTCACAAACTGAGGAATCACACAATGTTGAAGTATATCTGTGATTGTGGATTTGCATGTTCCCACTTGTTACTTCACATAGAACAGCTTAAAGTGAAGACATCATCATTCTGAGTTATATTTTCAAGGGCATCTTTAGAGTCTTCTTCTTCTTCTTCTTCTTCTTCTTCTTCTTCTTCTTCTTCTTCTTCTTCTTCTTCTTCTTCTTCTTCTGTGTGTGATTATACTAATGTAGAAAGAGTATCACAGCTTGAAGAAGTCTGGTTGTCCACAAACAACTTAACCTTAACCACGGTCCCAACAATTTAATTTGAAAATGTCAATACAACAATGTTCCTTGTACTTTAAAAAAAATTAAAACCCTGTTATTACTAAAGCTGGCATTTGAGACCGCAAGATCCTACAGGAGGGGTTTTAATTTCAAATGTACAGATGATTAACTCTCCAGTAAAAAGATACCTCTGAGAGTCCCCAGAAAGTATGTGGGGTTCAACTGCAGCTACACCAGGGAGAGGACAAAAGCTCTAGCATTGTAAAGAGGGAAGTTTGTCCCGCCTCGGCAAAAGTAGAAATGTTGAGGTTAAAAACAAAGGGTCTGCCATCAAAGCTCACAGAACTCCGTGGGAATTCTCCTCATGACCTACAGGACATGTGGCCTGCCCGCCACAGTCATAAATTCTATTTACTGTAACAATCACACAAACCGAGCAAAGGAGCCCCAGAGGCAGGCCCCAGAAGCAAGACTGAAGTTAAGGGTATTGATAATTTGTCTCATAAATAAGAGCACAGAATCATGACATGATTAATGATAGCACCGTGAGAGGGACTCACCCCACCTCCAAACTTTCCAACAGAATATTGACATGGCTTTACATGTTCGACTAGTGTCCAGTTTTGTTTTGTTTTTTAATCTGTCTGCCACATACCCTGTCTCTTGTGATTTCAGAAGCAGCATCCTGAACGATTTTCAATTAAATAAAGGGATTTATTTAAAATAAGTTTTTGCATTTTATGTGCAGTGAAAGGGGAGCCCACACATCTCCTAATTATGTACTACGAGTTAATTTTTCTCTTACATGAAATTCAGTATGGTTTATACTAAATAAAATGAAGTAAATCGAGCCTGGGCTTCCTTCTCCAAACTGAGAAGATTGGAAAGCGTCCTTTCCCACCCTGAGGTCTCAGATGAATGAATACCAATAGCTTCTTCGGAGCAGCTGGGACAGAGCAGAAAAAGATACATGGAAAATATACCTCTGTTTTTAAATGAAAGTGAAGGCTTGATTTTAAGTAGAGGTTGGGGTCAGGCCAGGTCAGACATTTGATTCCCAGGGTCAGGCCTCTCCGGTCTGTGACCTACCAAGAGAAACAGCATGTTCCAAGCCCTCACTGACAAACGATGCAAAAACAAAGCATTTGAATACAATCTGGACTAATTAGGCTTCCAAGTTAGAATAAAGGGATGTATTTTTTATTTTTTTTTCAAATAAGACATAGGCTTTCCTTATTTTATGGCAATTAAAATGCATGCTGTGATTAAAAAGTAGTATCTGTGTAAAACGGTGTGAAGCAAATTATCCATCTTCCAAATTTAAGTAAAATCATTTTTTTTCAAGCTAATAGGATTAGCCATCACAAAGAATGTTTGAAACTGCTATTTTATATGCCAGCATTTCCAACCATGGAAAAAAGAAAGCAGAGTGAACAGCCCGGGGAGGAAAGTGTAATGCAGAGGCTTGTGGGGAGGGGGATATGGCCCATTATTTACAAGTGAAAACTCCCTTTGTTAGTTGTGGTCTTGAACAGACTCAGGGAAACCTGACAGGGGAACCTCTGACCAGACCAAATCCATAGGAACTGGACGGCCTGCACTTAGCAGATCTCAGTCTCGAGCAAGGAACAAAACCTTTTGTGTGCTTTCTGAAAAAGAATTATGAACAATCGATTATATAATGAAAACTCTGGCATATGATACACGAGCCCCCATTGAGAAACTTGAGAATTTGGTGCTGTGGAATTTCTGTTGTGCCTGGGAGGCACGCTTAACATGTGACTTCAGAAATATTTTGTCTTTTCACTGTGAAATTCTTATTAATCCCACCCTTTCATTTTTAGAAAATGGAATTAATTACATAATTGGCCAGAAAAGGAATTTTAAAAGGTTAAACATTTTTGAAGTAGTTGAAAAGTCTTGAAGCAATCACTTTTGTCCTACTGCCTCGATGCATAGTCCACACAGATGCCACCAAAATATTTCAGAAAATTTTGAAAAGAAATTAAAAGGCTTCTTTTACAGCTTTCATTGTATGTTTTCCTATTCAAAATCTGGGTATAAATTCCAAAACATTTGGACTACAGAGCTGATATTTAAAAAAATTAAAAGCACAGTGGGGAAGGGTGCTTGCTGCAAACTGACCTCAACACCCATAAGGCAGAAGGAGAGAACGAGCTACTAAGAGCTGTTCTTTGACCTCTACATATACACCATGGTTCATGTGTGCATGCTCACATGGGAGTGCACACACACACACACACACACACACACACACACATACACACACACCACAAAGAAATAAAGAAAAGTGTAAAATAAATATTAAAAAGAATTTGTGAGTAGCCTGAGTGCAAGCAGTGTAAGCAATATACTGTGAGAGGCTTGTGTTTTATTTCTTTAAGGAGTCAGTGGACTAAAAGATGAGGTAACTGAGGTCCACCAAGTCTAGTAAACTTTTCCTTAGGGCACACATAAGGAGACTGGTAAAGACAGGAGTCGAAGGAAAGGGCCTTAGAATAGTTCCAATGTTGGCTTCTATTTCTTTTTCCTTTAAACTGCAGGGCATACAGGTTTACAAGAAAGGCAGGAAGGATGTGGCATCATTGTTCAGACCCTCTCACTGAGCCTGTAGGTACCTTCCCTAGTGACTATGTGATACTGGATGTCAGAAAACCCACCATAATCAGCATGGCACTCATCACTCATTTGACTACTTGTCCTTTGACAGTCCTTTAGACTCTAGCTATAACCGAAGACACTGTTTCATTAACAGTTTGTGACATATTTTAAAGTCGGGTAGAAATACAGCCTGGAGATGATTACTGATAACACTATGTGAATTTATTAGATGCATGTTAGGCACAGCGGTATCCTATGAACACACTATAGCTTCCATGAATGAGTTGATGTTCACAATCAGCTGTGTCATCTCAGTCAGTCTTGACCGATTGCACTGAAGACAGTTTATATACATTAATATTCCTTACCTAATTAAACTTTAAAGATTATGTTTGAATGCCCTTGTACAGAAGCCTGTGGCATGGCGATACTATCTTCAAGTAATAAGATTGACTCTTACATAAAAATTTGATATTCTGTGCAAACCTTAAGATCATTTACTGCATTACATGATAAAGAACCAACAATAAACTGAGATGCCAAAGAACTTCCACGTTTAATCTACATGAGGATACAAGAAAGCATGGGACAAAGGCAGAGACCACCAAAGTGTGTTGTTTCTGACCCTGAACATCTTGCTGTAACCCATACCTCCCTTGTCAATGTTCAAAAATATTTCAAAGGATCCACACCCATTATAAAAATTCAGATGTTAGTCAGACTATATGGAGTGCCAATTTACATTATTCTAAAATAGGTTTCTGTCTCTGGAAGAAGAGAAACCGATTAAAATGTTAACAGCTATAAAACTTTTAGAGAAATGTTTATTTGGTTACATAGGGGGTTATGGTTTAAATTCTGAAAATATCTATTTTTGAGAACATAAGGAAATCTAGGAGTGATTTGGGAAATGAATTGTCTAATGGGTCAAGCCTTCATGGAACAATGAAATTCCTCCATTAATAAAGAAATATTAAAAAATGAAGAGTGACTTCATGCTTGCCCAGGATATATGTGAGGCCCTGGAATCAATCTCCAGTATGGAACAGACATGGTGGTCAAGCTAGTTTTCTAAAAGGACTAGCATCAAGATACAGCAGTGAGACAGCAGTGTCTTCAATAACACTAATGAAAGGCTTTGATACTTGCTTATTTGATTTTTTAAGACAGTCTTTCTACACAGATACCCCTTATTATCATGGAACTCAATAACTCACTATATCCATAAAGCTGGTGTTGAACTCACAGAAATCTACCTCTGCCACCCAAGAGCTGGAATTAAAGGTGTGTGCCACTGTACCTAGCCAATATAGTTTTAAATTTTAAATTTCATCTTAGTATGTGTGCATGTCGGGGGTGGTGGTGTTGGGGCTATATGAGTGTACACATGTGGAAGTCAGAGGACAGCTTGAGGAAATCACTTTTCTCTTCATTCTGTAGGTTGTAGGCAGCAACTTCAGGTCCATCTTGTTGACAAGTACCTTTTACCAGCTGAGCCATCTCCCTGCATAACACTCCTCATTTCATGAGAATTCACTGTATGCCAAGATACAAGGTTTCATGCACATATTATCATGAGCATGTGTGTGTGTGTGTGTGTGTGTGTGTGTGTGTGTGTGTGTGTGTGTGTGTGTGAGTTCACGGGGGGCAGAAAATTTTTCATGTCTAGAAACAGCATTTCATAGCACCCCTCGCTGTTCTCTGTCTCTCACAAACCTGTGGTCTCCTTGTGGTGGCTTGAAAGAAAATGCCCCAAAGGGAGTGGCACCATCAGGAGGAGTAGCCTGGTTGGAATGGATGTGGTCTTGTTGGAGGAAGTGTGTCATTGTGGAGGTAAGCTTTGAAATCTCTCATATATGTTCAAGGCACTCCCAGTGAAACAGATCACTTGCTGTTGCCTGAGCAAGATGTAGGACTCTCAGCTACCTCTCCAGCACCATGTCTGCCTGGTGTCAACCATATCCCACCATGACTACAATGGACAGAATCTCTGAATTGTAAGCTATCCCATTAAATGTTTTCCTTTATAGGAGTTGCCTTGTTCGTGATATCCCTTAACTCTAATAGAGATCCTAACTAAGACACTCCTTTGATATTCTCTGTGCATTGATGGGGATGGGTGGGCTCACATAAAGATGTCCCATTTAAGGATGATCTTGCACGGTTCCTCATTCTCAGCACTGGGACAGTTATGCCTCATGCCGTTAATTGCTGCCCACTACAAATGGAACTGTCTTTAACCAATGTTGAGAACAGTCCAAGTCTGTGGCTATAAACATACATATTTAAAAGGCAATTTGACAACACAACCATATTTCAAGTAACAGTGGTAGGTTCCACTCTTTTCCCCCTTTTTAAAATAGAAATATGTGCTAACTGCAGAGGAATAATGTGTTACAGGTACCATTTTAATCAATGGATATAGTGTACTTTGAGCAGGCTTGCTCTTCCCATTGGCCATCCTTTCCCTAACTTCCCCTTCTGCTAATCCCTTTCCTCTTCTCAAATGATGGCTGGTTTTAGAGAAAAACAATGGAGCTTAGAATACAATACAACATCTGAGATGTGACTAACATCTATGATTCCAATTCCATAGTAGATATCCTTCAAAAAGGAGTAGTACAGACTCATTTCCAGCTTTAATAGAAACGTGTGCTGGCTCAGCTCACTATAACAAATGGTAATGATGCTCAGGGCTGTAACAAGACCATGATGGATAAAGCAGATTGTATGGAAGAAAGGAGGAGACCTTGGATGTAAGTCCATGCGAAACAGAACAGATGAGATTTAAACAAGAATAATCATTACACTTGTAGTTTATAGTATTTCTCAGCAATACCAAAAGGCATGGCTGAGGGGTGCTAGCAAATGGAGATACTGAAATATCTTGTGAATGTTGAAGGGGTACATTTCAAACTCCATCATAATCACAAAGATAATAGTGATTTGCTTTAACATTTGTCAGAAGATGTAAAAAACTAATATGAATAAAGGCAGATGCTTTGAAAATAGTACAACCAGCTGGATGTGAAACACGCAGAATATAAGAATTAGAGTGCAGACATCGTGCTCCAGCACATGATGGGTTATAGAAAACAATGGACCAAAGTATGGATGGTACACAGCTGAACACTTATTTCCAAAGATTGGGGGTTTTGAAACTGTGCTCTCAAATGAAAACATGGAGTCAGGGAAAACAAGAAAATTTTCCACACAGATGAAAACTAAGCCACACACCTCTAAATAATGACATATAGAGAGGAAGCCAAATTTTGTTTCTTTCTTCAAATTCTTATTCAAACATATTTAACCTGCTTAATATGGAAAGTACACAGCTCAGAATGTGTATGGCACAGTTTGAATAACCCTTCTGACATGATGCACAGCAGAAAGGAAAAATAGGAGGATCAAAAAAATCATCTGGAATTTTTAAAGAAAAACTAGTTCTTTTTAAAAAGCAAGGGAATAATTGAGCATCTGTTAGGGACTATTCATTTAAAGAGTCTAGAAAGCAAATGTGGATGGAAGGAAAGAGGTAACATAATACCAACAACCAGGGATATGGGATAGAAAGTCCCTGTCTCTATAGAAAACAGTAGGCATTGATAGGAGACATGTAAGAGGACAGAACAGATATATATGCCTTGAGTCATTGTAAGACGGCAAGTTTTCCTAAAGTTACTCATGGATAAAAACAAGCTCAATTAAAATTCTCTTTTCATCTTTAGTATTGCTGTGACTAATTACATTAAAGAAGTGAGTTGACGAAACTGATTATGTTCTGAGAGATCCCTGGTTTGCCATAAATGGCCTTCTTCTAGAGGCTGGAGCAGAAATGTGTTTCCAGCCTCTCCTGTCTTTTGGAAACTATCAGAATTCCTTGGCTTGTGGTTACCTCTCTCCTATAGTAAATTCTCCCATCAATGTGTATGGCTACTTTCCCTCTACTTCTTTCTTACAAGGATCTTCTTGATTTGATTTAGGGAAGCTCAAGATTGTGTCCCTCTGCTTAGGCTGCTGAAATTAGTCACATCTGACAATAATCACAAGATAACATTTGCAGGCTAAGAATTTGGAGATGGATACAACTTTGAGGTAACAACTTACTCGATGCTGCCAAGCTGCAGGATTTGTCTTGAAAATGGATAGGCTGACTTGAAGATGGTACAGACACACCTAGAGGAGTCATGATGGTCTTGAAGAAGACAAACACCACCTGATGGCAGGACCCACCTTCAGATGCAGTCATTGAAGCAGGCCCCGGGGGCCTGTGATGCACAGCAGAGTATGAGCTTACAACTTGCAAATGGTTTATGGAAAGCTATCACAATAATTCAGCGGGAAGAGGATAGTCTTCAAACCAACTTGTGCTAAGACAGTTGTCTCTCCAGACACAAGCAGGAAGATGGTCTTAAACCCCTACCTGGCACTGTACAGAAATCAATCACCTGAAACTCAATGGCATGGTTATCTCAGAAAAACAGGTAAACAGAACTTAAGTACACAGAGGAGAAAAAAACCTGAGCAAAGCTATCATCTTTGTGAAGTGGGGATTTTGTCCTCACCTGCAGGAGATGTCTAGGTAGCAGAGATTGTATAAATCAGCTGTTTTTCCCTGCATAAAGGTACTGAAAACCTTGGTAAGTCATCTTGGGCTGGTACCATGGCTCCAGGAAGAAGTATCTATTCCCAAGTGAGTCTTTGAGGCATTAGCAACAAACACAGCAGCCAGAGATAGACGGATGCTCATACCTGAAAAACACAGTATGTGGTCAGGGCATTACAGTATTTATTGCAATGGGGGTCACAAAAGGAAAAAGGAATAAAATAGTAAAATTGATACATTGTGCTTAATTAAAATCAAGAACTTCTGCAAAATAAGAAAAGAGTCATTGAAGGGCAAATGGAAAGCTGCAGCAATTCCTATATTTAACAACTGACTTATGCCCACAACTTGTGTAGCAGTTTTCTCCAAGTACAAAACCTGTGTTGTAGGGATACTTGTTTGGGCACAGGATAAAAAAGAAAAGTAAAGCAGCAGGATATTTTAACACAGGATGCCTACAAGGAAATGAAACAACAGAATACTAAAGGGGGAGGGGAGGTGACTGCCATCCTACAAGGAAGCTCCTTAAGAGAGGAAGCAAACAACTCTAACTTCAGGAAGTCCTCAAAACTGACAACATTCACTAGGTCCCTCCCATCCAAAGAATAGATGCTGAGAGTCACTCTCAGATAAGCACAGCGTCCTGGATGAATTAGAGACCAAGCTAGCAGTCAGAAACAAAGAGATCAGCCCAACTGCCTAGAAGAAGCAAAGTCAGCCAAGCTATCAGGAATGACTCACATCATTTGGGCCACCAGAAAAGAACACTCTGCAACATGCTGAGCTGCTTGCAAGATGTGCAGAGAGTTCCAGGACTTCAGCTTTTGTAAAGTGTCATCCTGTCTGGAATGGGCATTGGTGATATAACTGCCTTTGAGTCATTTCTGCTCCTGTAAGTAACCTCTGACCCACATTCCTCTAATCAACACCAATAAAACTCATTGACTCACCAAGCTGAAATTTGGTTCTATATTAGTCAAGGTTCTCTAGAGTATCAGAACTTACAGAATGACTATTTCTCTCTGTCTTCATTAGCATATGTATAGGACATACATATATACATTATACATACGTATGATATATGCATATATACACACATGTATATATGTACACATGAGGGAAGGTCTAAGAATCCAATAGTTATTCAGTAAACAGGGCTGGACATCCCATCTGCTCTTCAGTGTATTCCAGAATCTCAGAGAAGCAGCTCTAATGTCAGTGAAGGGATGGACTTGCTAGTGAAGTGAAAGCAAGCAGGAAAAGAGTGATGTTCCTTTCTTCTGTGTCTTTACATAATCTTCCAGCAGAAGGTGTGGCCCAAATTAGAAGTGGATCTTCCCACTTCAAGTGATTTAATTAAGCGGAAGTCCTTCACAGGTGTGCCCTGACCATTTTTGGGTTTTAGTTAATTACAGATGTAGTCAAGATGACAACCAAGAATAGCCATCACAGGTGCTTCAGTCTGCTTTGGGCTCCTTACCTGGGGTCAATAGATGTGTGTGTTATGCATGTCTCCAGGAAAAGTATCTCACACAAGATACTCAAAAGGCATGGTTTCTACACTTATACAAGTATGTGGGCATATGCACACATCAATAATAATAATAATAATAATAATAATAATAATAAATAAAAATATTTAAAATGGCACTCATGTTGTTAGAAGAGTTGTTCAACCAAATGACTCAAAACATTGACAATTTAAAAACAAGCCTACATAGTTTAATTCTCTGCTCACTAGATAACATCTTCAATAAGGGTGTACATCATGTACATATATGAATCAATTTCATGCTGTATTAAGGAACAAAGAGTGGGTGTCGATGCCTAATAATCACATATACAGAAATCTAACTTGAGAAAACTTTTATATAAATATTTTTTTAAAAAACAGTAGAAAAGGCACAAAAATATGTGTTGCAGAATTATTGGTAACAGTGGAGAGTAAGATCAAAATAATCTAAATATTGATCATTCAAATTGGCTAATATAATTATAGTAAGAGAGGCTAATGTAGTCCAGAATTACATGACTGTGCACAGAGGCCTGGGTGTTCTCAATAGAAGAGTACTTGACACTTGAGCCTCTGGATTTGAGACCCATAACCAAGAAAAATATTAAAAATATACAGAGCATCAAAACAAAAGACAAGAATACCCTACAGTGCTTGAATGTGAGGAGAGGATGCATTGAAGAGAATATGGAGGGCTGGAGAGATAGCTCATTCATTAAAGGCTAAGTTCACAACCCAAAATATAAGAGACTATGTGACACGCTTTAACATAAAATTTAATGTATAGGTCTATATACCTTGAGTTATTTTAAAATGCTCATAAAATATCAATGAATGGCATCTCTGGGTAATGAAATTTTTAATACTTTTATTGTATCTTCTACATTCATATGCAAATATGTGTATAGATCATAAATAATACAGTTAAATATGCCATATTTTTGTTATATTTTCCACAGCTAAGACATAATTTTAAAAATCAGCCTTCCAAGAACTCACACCGGAAGATAAAGCAGTGTCTCTAATGTGTTTCTTTTGTAGGACACAACTCAGAGCCCACCTACACTTCCTTAGATAGAAAACAGCTCCTAATATATGTACTATCCTTCAAATGCCTCCTGAATACCATGTCCACTTGGCAGGTAACCAAATGTGTTTTCCTGAAGCCAGTAAAACTACATTTAGAAAAAATAGCAGCCTTTAAAAAGGGGAATTGGAGTGAATAGAGGAATATAAAATATAGTACAAAATATAAAAGTAAGTGGCCATAGTATAAGGCCAAGAACGACTCCACCAGTGATCGGAGCATCAATAAAAATGTTCAAAGAGGACACAAGTATCCTTGTGTCTTCTTGGGGAACCATAGCAACCTGTGAGAGTTTCAGAGGGCTTTATGCTAGCAGGAAGTTCTGCATCCCAGTGGAGTTTGTGTTATGAATCCAGGCAATCTTTATTGTTCTGCTAACAATTTTCCTTTGTGTTCAAAACATAATAATAATAATACTCCCATTTGCCATGACGTCCCATTCCCACTCTGCTGCCCATCCTTCCCATGATGTTTGATGCTCAGAAAGATGCCTCTGGCAAGCTGCCTTCCAAAAGGCTCAGTCTATGGAAGGCACTGGGAGCAGGGAAGGAAAAGGCAAGGACACTCCCCTTATACACACCACCATCCTCCCTGTTCTGGTTCAATCATGTTTGCAGGTGCTGGGTGTTTCCTGAACATCAGTGGAGTCTCTGCCCTGTTGCTTGGCCCAAGACCTACTGTATTTCCAGTTCCCATCAGTCTCCAGTGTAATACTCTCTTCTTTCCATTTCCTCAGAGACCATAACAAGCTTTTGTTGTTGCTGGTCTCTGGGTGTCTCCCTCTCCCTTCCTGGTTGCCTCAGTCAGCCCAGGGCTCTAGAAATTGGCTGTGGAAGTCTTAACACATGCACTGCCTATGGAAAAATGCATTTCCTATTGACAGCTTCATTAATATAAGAACATAAAATTCAGATTACTGTGAGTCTCATAAAAGGAAATGTATCTAATGTGCTGAATATAAGGCTTAGCAAATACCACTTAACAAATCTTAATTTTAAATCAAAGCTTCAGTTTTGAAGTTTACAAACAAAACAATTTGAGGCAGAAAAGCTCATTGTTATTATGAAACTGCATTACATATGATATCAGTGAGGTACTTCTTCAAATCACAAAATGGCCTTCTGATTTCCCTTTTTTCTAATTTTAATTAGATAAACAGATACTCAATAAGTAGTCCATTGCTTGCAATTATTCCTCACTTCAGATTAACAAAATTACTTTGATTTTATCATGACTCTTAAGCATAGCTGATAAATGGAAACGAAAACATTGGTCCAGTTGGCTCAAATAAGTCTGTCCTCTTTAGTAATTATTCTCCTCACATTAAGGAATAAATTGTTCTGCTTTCATAAGTAAATCTGATGAACGTGGATATTTCCATCCAAGAAATCAATAGTATTTATTTTCTGCTCTATGTCTGTATGAGTCTGTGACTAGGCATATATCAGCATAGTTCCTGACAAACAGCAACTAATAAACAGACCAAGAGGTGAATGACTGGCCTCCCAGCTGAACTGCTCAGTCTCTAGACCCTAGGCACCCATGCTGTTCCACCCCCCCATCAGACCCTGTAATCTACAAGTCCCATTCTGTCCCCAAACCCACCCATCGGTCAGGACCACAGTGGCTCCCTGAGACAGATAGCTACTGCAACAATCTGCCCAAGAGAGGCTCCTAGAGACACAGACACCAACTGCAACAATCAGAACAAGAGCCACAAACACTACCTGCACCAACTGGGTAGACACCAGTGCAAGAATACATTCTGCAACCTAAAGAGCAATATGGTACCACCAGAAGCTAGTGCTTCTAGAACAGCAAGACCTAAGCATCCCAGCACAGAAAAAGCAGAAGAAAACAACCTTTAAAATAACTTTATGAAGATGATGGAAACTTTTAAAAATGAAATGGAAAGTTCACTTAAAGAAACCAGGAAAAGACAAAAAAAATTGGAAGAAATCAATAAATCTCCTAAAGCCAAGAAAAAGCAATCAAACAGGCAAGGAAATAGTTCAACACTTGAAAATTGAAATAGAGGGAATAAAGAAAACACAAACTGAGGAATTCTGGAAATGGAAAATCTGGGTAAGTAAACAAGAACTCAGATGTAAGCATAGCCAAGAGAATACAAGAGCTGGAAGAATCTCAGGCACTGAAGATACAATAAAGAAATAGATTCATGGATCAAAGAACATAATGCAGTATAGAAAGTCCTAACACAAATGTCCAGGAAGTCTGGGACACCCTGAAAAGATCAAACCTATTAACAATAGGAAAAGAATACCACCTCAGAAGACATATTAACCAAATTTTAGAAAAAACAGTTCCCAACCTAAAGAAGGAAATGCTTATGAAGATACAAGAAGAATACAGAACACCAAAACGACTAAACCAAAAAAAGTGCTCACCACATAATAACCAAAAAAATATACAGAAATATTAAGAGATGCAAAAGAAAAAGGCCAAGTAACATATAAAGGCAAACCCATAAGAATAACACCCAACTTCTCAATGTTGACTCTGAAAGCCAGAAGATCCTG